CTTGGGCGACCTGCGGTACTGGACATAGCCATCCTCCGCAACATCAGAGAGGAGTTCGAGATAGAGACCCTGGTGGAAGGATCGTCGGACCACAATCCGATTCTACTAACACTTGGCACAGGGTCTAGAACTCGAGATAGCTTGAGCACCAAACGGACGAACTGGAACCTGTACAAATCCAACGTCCAAAGGAACATCACTCAAATTCCAACCATCCGATCAGCGGAGGAACTGGACAACGCAGTAGAGGAGCTGGAGAATGCTGTCCTGCGAGCGCACGAGGACAGCACCCGCTCCGAGACTACGGCAGTTCCTAGACACCTAAATGGTCCAGCACCGCACCATATTAGGCACCTGATCAGGGAGAACAGAAGACTCAAGCGAGAACATCTCCAACTGTTGACAGAGGAGTCGAGAGTTGCGCGAAACAGAGCATCGTTAGCTCTGAAGAACGCACTCGCGGAACTCCAAAACAGCAGATGGAATGCAGCCTGTGCAGAACTAGAGACCCAGGATGGTACGGCCTGGTCTATGCAGCGAAAATTTCGTCGTCAGCGCACCACGATCCCCACTCTTCACGGCCAACGCGGCTTGGCTTACTCCAGTGAAGAAAAAGCCGAAGCATTCGCCGATTCGCTAGAATCCGAATGCAGACTCAATTACCATGAAGACGAGGACGACAACCACGAGGAGGCCGTGGAAGTCGCAGCCGAAAACATGAGGAGTCGACCACCTGGCCAGGAGACGGATCACCCCTCCAGTCCAGAGGAAATCCGTCTGATCATCCGCAGGTTGAAGGTCAGAAAGGCGCCGGGAAGGGACGGCATCAACAACAGGATGCTGAAGAACCTTCCCACCAAAGGCATTGCTGCGCTCACCAACATCGCCAATGCCACCCTGAGACTTAACCACTTCCCGCGGCGGTGGCGGGAAGCCCAGGTTATAATGCTCACCAAGCCAGGCAAGGACCGGAAGTTGCCCCAGAACTACCGGCCCATCAGCCTGGTTTCCTCGATGGGCAAAGTAGTCGAAAAGGCTATCGCCGTTCGACTAGAGAAGCAGGCAGAAGAACTGCAACTTCTCCCCCCAGAGCAATTCGGCTTCAGATCCTCGCACAACACGGAACTCTAAGCGCTACGACTGACAGAAAACATCACCAGCGGCTTCAATCTACAGGAGGCAACCGGTCTCGTCCTGCTGGACGTGGAACGAGCCTTCGACAGAGTTTGGGACGATGGACTCATCGCCAAAATGGAAGCCGCCGGAATCGATGCGAACATGTGCCAACTGATCCAGAGCTATCTAACACAAAGATGGTTCACGGTGAAGATTGGTACATGCCATTCAACAAGACGACAGCTGGAAGCAGGCGTGCCCCAGGGGTCAGCCTTAGCCCCCCTGCTCTACAACATCTATACTTACGATGTGCCGAAGACAGCTGACACAATGCTGGCCCTATATGCAGACGACACTGCTATAGCCGCCAAGCATAGACGACCCGAGATCATCCGTAGGAGGCTACAGGATGAACTGGACCAAATTCAGGACTGGTGCGTGAAATGGAAAATCCACATCAACGTCCAGAAGACGCAGGCAATCTTCATTCAACGAAGAAGGATTGCAAGACCTCTCGAAGCATCCATCTTCGATGAAGATATCCAGTGGAGCGACAATGTCAAATATCTGGGGATCGTTTTTGACAAGTCCCTCACCTGGAAAGCGCACATAGAAACTGTCATCGCAAGAACCAGAGCAGCCATGGCTCAACTCTATCCATTACTGGGTAGACACAGCCAGATGCCGCTAGCGACCAAGCTACGGCTGATCAAGGCCATCGCCAGACCTCAGCTCGCTTACGCCTCCGCAGTCTGGGGGTACGCTGCCCCCAGCTACCGCAAGCGACTTGCTGCTCTAGAGATGAAGCTACTCCGGATCGCCACCAATGCACCTTCCTACGCAAGGAACTCAACCTTGCGTAGAGACCTGCATTGGGATACCATCCACGAGTACATGAGGAAAAAAGCGGAGAAGACCTTCGAGAAAGCTCAGGACCACCCGAACGAGCAGCTACGATTCCTCATGGACTACGATCCGGACGAGAGGCCTCGCAACCGCAGAACCAGGTACCCCAGACCAAGGTCCCAGTTGGCACCCGCTAAATGGAACCTTGACTAGGAGACTAGGAGAACTTGCGACATAAAAGTCCAATTTGCGAATATGTTTTATGAACAAGTAAATTCACGTGTAATAATTGTTACACAATACTTTTTATGGAATAGGACCCTGGCCAAACGAAACCACATAATATTTATAAATTACATATTATATTTGGCTTCATTAAGCCAGGCAATCATGGAGTCCTATCAGCATGAAAATCACACGATACATTTCATGTGCCACATGGAAAAACTTATTACATCACGCTAGAACTTACCAGGTTACAGATTATAAGTCAGTCTTGAACTTTGAAAGAGTAACATTTAGCACTTCTTTTTCATGAAATATCTTTTTTTAGGTAAATTATTTATTATTGCAATTTATGCATCAGAAACGAAAGTTGTTACCGTATCAAACTTCGTTCATCTAGAACTGGCCAATATGCCCGCTTCTTTGTCCCTAAGGTATCGAGATTGTGGACCAATCTACATGATGAGGCTTTTCCCAGTTCTACTAGGCTTCGGGAGTTCAAAAATTGGATTAGCAAAGTTTCTTTAAGCTCCTCATAGCAGCCACAGTGCTCTAGCATTTAGGCTTCTGCCTGCGCGGCTGCATCGGTGTAAAAAAATGAGCTTAAATGTACAGGCAAAAGTACTAAAGAAAAATCTTTAACCTGCAACACAGGACCTAAAGCCACCTAGGGTTGATCGCCGGCGGCATAACGCCCAGTCAACTCAAATTAAAATTAAAATTAATTCGCTCAGTTTCATTTTTATTTGAGTCGGTAGGTATCGCGTGTGCTGAATGCAGAAGCGAAAGTGTGTGTGCTTTTCCCATTGTATAAAGCGCGCATATAATCGTTTAAATTAAAAGCTGTGTCAAAGGAGATTTGGGGTGCAGGCAGGGGGTCCGTTTTTATAAAAGCGCTTTTGCTGGCCTCGTCATCTCGCCAACCCTGTGTTTTTTTGCGAAAGTGGGTTTTTAATTAATTTTTGCATTAAGATAATACGCGTCGGAATGCAATACCAGGGACGCCATCGTTACCATTTTGATATTTTAGTCTCACCTTAATTTCGAGAGCGTCATTGAACAAGGAATCACTAGTAATGTAACTGTAATGAAAAATCCGGATAGACATTCAAATTTGCATATTTCGCATGATTTTATGTACACTTCTGATGATATTTAGGATTTGATACCTCCAGTCTTCAAAAGGTTTTGAGGGGAATATAAACTATCACAAATAGTTAGCTCACGCCAATAAATAATCGCCTCCTATGTATGGTGTTACGGCGAACCAAGTTTCCAGACCGTGTCATCTCTCGGTTTGGAGAGCGTAATTGGCCACCAAGATCGTGCGATCTAACGCCAATGGACTTCTTGCTCATGGAGCTATGTGAAGGAACAGGTGTTTGCGAACAAGCCACAAACAGTTCAACGCTTTAAAGAAGAGATACGGCGCGTTATCGACGAAATAAAGCCACAGATGTGCGAAAACGTTATCCAGAATTTTAAGATAAGACTGACCCTGTGCCAGAGGTTTCGTGGTGGCCATTTACTATATGTCTTATTTCATGTTTAATAGCAACTATTCCTCTTCATGTTGAAATATAAATACCGCTTGATTCGAAAAGAAATTGTGTTTTTCTTCAAAATCAAATCCGGCGCTCTGTCTGTGAGACAACCTTTATTATTGTACAACTGTTTCCTTTTCATTAACATCAAAGCCATTTTCAAACATTACGTCTATTGATGGGATATTTAAGAAGGATATATACAGAAATTACTTATTTCTCAATCGTTCTAAAATGTTTGGGAACATAGAACTCAGTGGTCAAACTGACCCAGCGAAGCAGATGTTACAATTTCAAAGACTATCACTTACCTAGATGTTTTTTTTTTCTTTCATTGCGGTCAATAACGGTAACTTTAGTAGTGAGAAATAATATTTTTTAAAACTGCTTGACACATCAAGTTGATTCATGATCATTTCCAAAAAGTAGGTCAATTAAGTCATAATTAAGTATTTTGAGCTCGATTTTCTGGTTTAAAGCGTTCCAGAAATTCTTTCTCAAATTTTTACACGAAGAAGCGTGCAAAGTATTGTGACCGCGAGAATCTTCAGAAACGGCTGTCCCACTTTTCATGAAATTTGAAAAGGAGTATGCATATAGTGACTATATTTCAAAGCGGTGCAGTAACGACATAAAGCAAAATAGTTCCAAAACCGCTTTGTTTTCAGATCTTTAACAAATTTCTGGTAAGTTTTGGTAGTAATCAGAAAAACCTTTGCAGGAGTCGAAGTCTCCAAAATTTACTTTTCACTGTTTTTCAAATTTCTGATCCTGCAGGATGAAACAGGATGTAAAATATGAAAACAAACGTATATGGGTGCGTGGAAAGTACTAAATCCACGTACTCTATTTCTATCAGTTGTCAAAAACATTTAGGTTGCTTAGAAAATTGGAGGGAGGACTTAGTTGGAGTTCTTACTAGGTGTTCTTTATAGAAATGCTCAGATAATTTTCGTAAATGTAATCTGTAATCCAAGTGAATCACACAATTGCTTTATTTCTCACTTTCATATTCCATTCTGCATCCCTTAGGCACGGGCAAAGAGACACTTAAAAGTCCCGAACACCAATCCCCAATCTAACTACTTGCTAAGTTCTCTACCCTTTCTTGTTTGCCCAGCACTTCACCGCAACTAAAAACATACAGCGGCGATATTTGACTGCTACCAAAACGTTTATTGCTGCGATCCAAGGATTAGCAATCCCCATGGCGGTTAGTGCGTATCACTCTAATATCATGGTGTAGGGATGCTAATAATGGATTCCGCTTCAAGTTAGGTAAACACACGACTTCAGCAGCGTTGCCAATAATACCACTGAGAGTAGAATAGATGATGCTGGAGGGGATTCATGCCGTCTTCCATTCAAAACAGCATAATCTGGATAGAAATTACATCAATGCTCCGAAAGCCACTGAAGGCAACTTACGAGGTTTGTGAATTAAGTGATGAAACTGATTTTTTTAATTTGTTTGTTCAAATATAATGGCAATTTAATGTTGTTCCTCTCAAAATAACTTCCTTCTAAAGCCGCACAGTGCTAGAGACTGTGCTTCCACTCCTCATAGCACTGCTGGAGCTCCGATACTGAAATAGCCTTCACATGGTCGGTTACAGCGGTTTGAATGTTTCCGACTGTCCTAAAAGGAGTTTCCTTGAGGTGATCTTTCACCTTCAGGAAGAAAAAAATGTCACAAGGTTTCAAGTCAGGCGAATAAGGAGGCTCAGGAGCCACAGGAATGTTTTTACTGGCCGAAAACTTGTTTATTAACATTGCTGTGCGACAAGAAGCATTATAGTGATGCAGATGTTCTTTATCTGATGAACGGGGGTGTGAGTCAAATTTAACTCTTCCCCGATCACTCTGACTATGAACCGACGCTCTGAATGCACAAGACCGACCAAATAACTATTATGGTACTGAATATACAGGGTATTCTATACTTGAACATGCATAATGTAATGGCAGCCAGTATGAGCCGATACCGTTTCATATCTAACATAAAAATAGAAAAGCTCTAAAATCTGTTAAGGGTATATCCAAACACACCAAAGCGCCAATTTCACATACATGCCACTCTTGATCCGATTTTGAAGGAATTTTGCAGAAGTTACCTAGAAGTAACTAGACAGGCGATTCACAAATCCAGGAATGGACTAGGTTTTTCCACTTTTTTGTTTTCTATCAAAATCAATATCTATCAAGCTGAATATTGAAATATTTCAAAAAATACAAAAAAGCCAATGAATAGTGCTTACTAATTGACAATATGCATTGATGGCGTCTCTTTTCGTTAGTTAAAAAGACTTATTTACTCAAATATCTCATTCTTAGCTGTTTATGTGACGCAAAACTAAATTTTCAAGTGTTATTGACTTGGTTTCATCAACATTTTACAAAACAATGCTTGAAATTTAATAAAGACGTCCTGTAAACTTGAAAATTCAGGGTAAGACACAGTTTATTATATTTCTTTATATCTTTATTAACTGCAACACGATGAAACTTACACTGTGAATATATTATTTCGGAGAAAGTAAAAGGCAAAATTAATGTTATACACCATATTTACTTATTTCGGTAATTTTTTAATGATTTAATCCTACGAACTGATATTGTACATCAGCATATTATGTTCTGCTTAAAAGGGAAACGGCAATTTGAATTTGAATTGATTTGCAATTCCACCTCTCAGACCAACTTGAGATTGAGTTGAAAATCCTCAAGAACGTAGCATGCAGGATTTGACATCTAATTGTGTGATGTACCATGTGGGCATTATACAAATAATCTTACGTACTCGTAGGGTGAAAATACTGAGTCTGGACCTGTACAATTGATTTTTCTATATTTTCATCATAATCTTGAATTGTCCTGGAGTCCTTCAGAGCAGGACTTATATTGTATAACATCAGTAAGTAGAATTAAATCATTAAAAAAATTTATTTGGTGTTTTTCGTGATAAAATACAAGATAACTAAATCCTACTCTGGAATAATAAGTTCGAAAAACATCTTCTGTTGGAATTTTTGGTCACTGCCAAGAATAGGATATTTGAAAAAACAAAAATGTTTAACTAAAAAAACAAAAGAGAAGCAATCATTTTATTATGCTGATTAATTACCACCACTCATTGGATTTTTCCTACATAGCCAAACGTTTCAATCTTCAGCTTGACAGATGTTGATTTTGATCAAAAACCAGGAAGAGTGAAAGGGTGAAGAATGAAAAAAAACCGTTCCTGGATTTATCTACCGTCTGACGACTAGCTAGTTTTAATCCAATGTTTCATCAAAATCTGTTTAATAGTTGCTGAGATAATGGATATTAAACATCTGGTGCCTTAGAAAAGATCCGAAAAAAACTAATTTAGAGCTTTTTTATTTTGAGATATGGATAGTTCTCGGTCCATTATTTACCACTTCACTATGTCCATTTAAGTACAAAGCACCCTGCGTTTTCTCCTTTGGCAATTTATATTCTCAAAATATAACAAAATGAAGTTTAAGAAAGCCAGGGAGAAATTTCATTCATTGATTTTTAACTTTGTAATCAAAACAAAGGTGTTTTCCTTCGACACAGGTTGATCTAAATGTACCCCATTTCTAACCCTTTCACTTGCTAATTTGTTTCTTTGTTACCCGTCGCAGTCTAAATGACTCACTCCTCCTTGAAGTTTTTTAAACTAACTTTATAACAAAAATCCATCATGTCAAACAGCCCTTTTCTCTTGCTAATTTGTTTCTTTGTTACTCGAACCCCTAAACTGGTTTTGTTACTTCATGAGGCGTCCTCAGGAAGTTCTTTACAGGACTCGAAAAAACATTTAAACACCGTAAATTAGGGAGTTCCTTGAATATTTGCATATAACTTTAGCTACTTGAGATCTTACGCATTTTGCCTTGCCACTTATATAAGCCAGTCTTTACTGGTCGGTTATGTAGAATATACTTAACTAAACACCGGATCTATATTCTCATAGCCTATAGGTTCTGTTCTTTAATCCTGCTTTATCTTCCAGTCTGGCAAATGGTAATCAGTTAACAGTTAGAGATGATTCATTGCTCAATTCCAAACACATTTATTATAGTTTCTCAACAACATCATCGCCGGACTACCGGACTCTCCCAAGTATACCAAAATCTGTTCCGAACGAAAACGTCCAGAGATAGTTGGATATGTGAAGAATGACCTGTTCTCCAGAATTAAGTCTCCTAGGTTTTTCCTTATAGGACCATCAAACAGTTCAACGAATCCAGCCATATTTTTCTAAAAAAAAAACTGCAGATTTGAACATTTTGTTGAGTTGTTTTTATAAAATCGTCAAAGTATCTAAAAGTCTTAGGATAGGAAAAAAGATCAATTCTGTGAACTTTTACCCTATGTTTTGGAAAACACTCAACGTCGGATGGACTTCTGATTATGTTAATGGGAATTTGATAGGCGTTTATAGCTATCCAGATAAGACATCTTGTGTAATCATCTTTCTTTTGGTGGGACAGTTCGAACGACTCCTAATGTGCTCAGTTTGGGATTTTCTTTGGTTACAAGTTTCGCTGGAAGATCACTACAGAATCAGCTAATGGGCAAACTCAGATTGAGAGATCTTTATAGGGGAGCTGGTCTGTATTTACACATCATTTATTTCTTTTACTCGATTAGTCCTGCTTAATGGCTGATAACACTGACATTTATGTTTTGTAACCCAGTAGATAGGTATAAGCTTCATATGAACGTTAAGGTAAATTATTAATTTGGTCAGAAAGTGTATATTATACAAAAATCAAGGTTTTCTACATTTTGTGGAAATTTGAAAATGGCTCACCCTAACTCCAGTAGGTTTATCAGAGGGAATCTGAAAGAAACTAATATCTGCAAATATGTAACTATAAGTAGTTATAAATAAAATATACACTTTATTGAGATGTTAGATGCAGTTCTAGGAGACCATGCAAATAAGCAAAGAAAAAAACCTGATTCGGGACCGTTGAAGAGACAGCCAACCCATGGGCGTTTCAGAACAGGAATACAGTAACAAAACTATACAAAATCTGCAAAACCTTCGCTCATGTTTTTGGATTCTCAGCAACTAAATTTTCAAATTGCATTTTTTCATATTTTCGCAGACATACACCACACTGTATTTTTATGAAAAGTTCAGCACTAATCTTTTAGTATATTGACAAAAATTCAAATTGGCAGTTGAAAGTGGATGGTTGAAATTCAATTATTAAGCACCAAGAACTATAAACGATAATGGGACTCGTTCATTCAATAGTTTGTGCACATTTGTAATTGTTTATCCTAGTCATCTGCCATTGCAACAGCGTCGCCACGTATTAATAAAGCTACAACGCTTTTTGACTGCATCCTGAAAGAGGAAGTACTCCCATTTTTACCTTACAAACAAATTATTTTGTTGCACTTGCTTCTCGAAGAATTCTACCCTCTTATCAAAATACGCAGTGTTTAAGGCAGTTTAAAAAGAAATGTTCTGACTCAGTCCTGTATAGAGTTAATACCTTTTTTTGTAAAATTGCAAGTAATATCTTAAGTAACATGGGTTAAGGAGCGTTAATGCGTAAAATGAAAGTTAGATTTTCGATGAAAATTTCAATTAAACTGCTGGGGAAGTATTGAATATGTAGCTGAAAAAGCTAGTTCAAGCTAATATTATTTTGCGCCTTCCGTATGTCTAAAAACAAACATAGAGGGACGTTCTCCCTTCTTTCCAGCGCTGAATCGGATTCAGTAACTGTTTTTTAATTAATAGCAGCAAGGGATTAGTTAAAAGAAAAAAGATATAAAAATGAATCATGCTAATCGTTTTTTCCTTTTAATGGTTGGGCAGGAAAACAAAGATGTTTTTAGGAAATGGGCCATTAAGAGGAGGGGAAGATGCACTGATACATGGCGCTGGATTTGGGGTCATAAATATCACCAACATAATTGAGATTGATTGCTTGGGAGGATTGAGTTCGCAAGTAGAAAGTAGTCTGTTGCCGTTCGAGATCCCTTCATCATTAATTGTCAAGCTCTTTTAACCTAGTTCAGCTGCACTACAAAAGCGGGCTGCCAACAGATAGAATATATTTGTATCAGTTTATTCCTACATTCTCAGATCTCAAACGTGTTTTACGATATGGAACAATGTGAGAAATTCACACTGAGTAATTGCGGTTTGATATACACGCTTGAACTATGCGGTGTTCTTCCCTGAAATGTAGATAGGTAACAAATTATAGGGAGTCATGGAGTTGAGTTGAGGAGTTGAGTACCCTGTATATTATAAAAATACAATGAAATAGAAATCTAATCTAATCTGGATAAGGGCATGGGGCAATGTAACACCTACAACTTATCTGGTGGCTTTCATGTCAATAAAACTCATGAGACTACATATGCATAAATTACTTTTGACTGACTTTCGGCCACCACGGTGGCTTTTTCAAGGAACAGATAATACCGTGCTGGCCAAAGCAGTAAAAAGTCATTTCCCCATAGTTTTGTGGTTTCACTTGGCCAGAAAATGTTGATTGGGTTAGATCTAGTTATGTTTTTTTTTCTTTATACTCCAACTACCACGAAGGCCTAAGGCCTAAACACCCATTGGGTACCGTGGGGCTATACTGGGATACAGGGGAAAGGGGGAACGCCACACGGACTCTGGCGAGGGAACACGTGTGCATGCAACATGCACACATTCTGGCTCCGCCTACGAGATCCGCGGGGTGGTACCTCCGCGTTCGACGGTCAGAGACAGTCTACCACCTAAGGACAATCACAACATCCATAGCCAAGAGAAAAATTTCTCCTGGGAACCCGCACAGCGCACGGCGACTGATCAGGAGACCGAAGAGTCTACTACTGCGGCCACCGCTGCTGCCTGTTGCTGTTGCCACCATGTACTGTTTGCTGAAGGAATAATACAAAAGTTAGAGCAGAAATGTTTTTTCATGAATTAAATATAATAAAACACACTTGTACTTCAATAAATATGCCGCCTATACAAGTTGTTTCCAAAAAGTGGTAATAATTTGGACAATTATAAAGATAACTCATTCTTTGACAACTCCAAACAACGTTATTTCTAGGATAGAGGGCGAAAAAGATTTTAGAAAGTGTCGGGTCTTATAAGTAGATGTCACGTTTATATTTATTCAAAATAACCAATTCGGGTAGGGGTAATAACGCAATCAGCACATAGACCGCCGACCTCTTTCAAGATAATTGTTTCTCATTGAGTTACATCCAGATATTGTTTTTTACAGAAGTTGAGAAAGCTATGCGGTATAACCCCTTAGGGAACAACTTATTATGTTTCTATCAAAAACTCAAAAAATGAAAGAATTCGGGGATCTAAGGCAAAGAGGTTATACTCTTACATTGTAGACGAAGATATCATAGATATATTCCCAATTGAAATAGCGAAGAAATGGGAGCCGTGTCATTTTTGGATATATCCTAAAAATATAGTCACATTTTTTTTCTTAAATAACCTTTTTGCGGCTCTGGGTTTCTTGGCTATTCCACTTGGAAGTAGAGATACTGTATCTAGATATTTAAAAGTTTTTTGAAGATTATTATTATTTCGCGAAGATGTTCACCCTATAGGTATATACTCAAATTGAAGCTACTTTTCGAAAATCGTCGAAGAGCTAAATTCTCCTAAAACAGTTCAAAGGACCATGGATTTTTCTACTATTTTGGAAACACCCAGATATCAAAAAACATTAGTTAATGATATATCTAGGGCAGTGGTCGCCAACCTGTGGATCGTGAGCACCGGTAGCTCGCAAAGACAATTCTGGTGGCTCATAAAAAGATGTAAAAATCATAGAAGCTTCCGTGAATTTTGTAAATTCTCATAATAAACACAAGCAACGGCAACACTGCAGTGAGCGATCTGTTCGAGAACGATCTCGATTACTTTGAACGGAATAAATACGCGGCGACAGTGCGCTCAGAGAAAAAATGAAGGGTACAAAGTCCAGCGGTTGGGTTAAAGTTGGCCTGCAATTAAAAGCATTATGAGCAGTAGTAAGAAGATGAAGACTTACCGTTTCCATTCGGAATGGGAAGAACAATATTTCTTTACAGAATTTAAAGGTAAAAATGTATGTTTGTTATGTAATACATCTGTTTCCGTTGCTAGAAAGGGCACTATATAACTGTACACTCGAATTTTGCAAAATCATTCCCATTACATTCTGCAGCCAGAACGGAAAAGCTGAAACAATTAAAAAATCAGCTAATTGGACAACAGACAATGTTTTTAGAAACAATCGCCAAAAGTAAGGCTGCAACTGAAGCATCATACCGGGTGTCCCAGATAATTTCACAAAAGAAGAAACCTTATGAAGACAGGGAAACGATACAACAGGCGTTTCTAGAAGCTGCAGATTCATTATTTGAGATAGTGTCTGTTATAAAATCTATGCTACTGTCTGCTAATACAGTGATGAAACGATTACAAGTAATGAGCAATTTCAAGCGTGGTCCTGTCATCTTTGCAGTACCTCTTAATTCTGTTCTATTCTTATTTGGATTCATCCGATCGGTATAGGCTACATAAAATTAAAAACAACTGCTGCAGGTTTGTATTTGGACTTCGTAAAGGCATGTCTCTTCGAAGATTCAAAAGTTGAATTGGTTGAAGATGGAATCACAATTTGAGTATGCTATGTTGTTTGTCCATAAAGTAGTTCTAACTTAAAAGCTGGTACCAAGAGGTAACTTTAATCTCAGATGACCTAAATCATTATCTTTCATACCGCCAGGACTTCGAAGTTGAGTCATTTATTTTAACAGTGAGTAGATCTGATCAAAAGAAATGTTTTTTCCTTTACCATTTTTCTGGTAAAATTAAAGTAACAAAGTTATAGCCCTTTGGAAGTTTGAGTACCGCCCTGTCTCAATAATAATATCATGTGCTCGTGTTTGGCAACAACGGATATAATCCGCCTTATCGGTTCATCGCATCGGAAACAAAAAAGCGAAAGAATTTGGAACGATGTTTTTACAATTATTTTATTCAGTTCAGTTATACATACAGTAAGTGTCAGTCGGTAACGCGTGTGAATAGTGTCTGTTGTGTGGCTCAAACGAAATAAAAAATGGCACATGTTTATGCGGATCGGTTTCCCAATCGAGTGCAACCAACCCCTCGTGCCTTTGTTAATGTAGTACAACGGGCTCATGAATCAGGTGACTTAAGACCTCACAGGGGACCTCACGATCAAATACAGGTCCGCACTGAAATACTTGTCGGGAGGATACTTTATAAAACAAGGTAAAAATTTTGTTTTATTTTTTTTTTATTTTTACACACATATTTTGGTTTATCTTCCTTCTACAATCATTATCTGAAAATTAATGACTCAACTTCAAAGTCATAATTATACTGATCCAATTTATCGCAGTAAAACTATGGTACCTCTCAGGCGACTTATAAGAAACAGCTGGTGGGATAGTTCATAGGAATTGTGATGTGAATAGTTTAAACTATGCATCTGTTAAATCACTTTTTCCTTATATTTTATATTACTTTACATTGTTATCTTGTACTTTTGTATGTGGGTATTGTATACATGTTACCCTGAATACTCGAATTCGGACATTACCCGAAAAAAATGTACAAGACTAGTTCTGAGCAAAATTTTTTTACAAAACCTGAAATATTACATTTATTCGGCTATTGAGCGTTACAAAATGAGCAGAACTAGTTCTGTGCATTTCGAATTGTACAGAACTAAATTTGCTGATTTCTAAATGACCAGAACTAGGTCTGATCGTTTCATGCAATGATGTCGGAACCCGAATAGAAAGTAGGGTTATGTTCTTATTTATGCTTTAAAAACATTCGACTAGCACTGTGAAATATGTAATTTTCTTCAAACCATTTTAAATGTGTTTTATATATTATATAACACAAAGCTAATATATTTTTGAAAATATATTCTGATACAAATATATAACAAAAAATACTCGTAAAACTTTATTCAATACAAATGTTAATAATATAATATTAATCAATAATTATTTATTTGTGCAAGAACTTGAATAATGACATTTTGAATTGCACATTACATTATTTTTACGACAAGAACATGCTTTGTTCATACATTTTTTATTGCACATACATGAAACAAATCCTTGCGTAGATCCAGATACTGTTGTCTATGAAAATGTTACTGTCAGCGAATTGGACTTAATTTCTACAAAAGAGTCTTTGTAAAACTCCAGTCTTTGTTGCTTATTTGTAAAATCCATCATCAACAGATTGTACAACGTTTCTTAGTGCTAGTCTTCCACGATCCACCTCTGGAATTTGTACAAGCACATTGTCGCCAGCTAGGGCTGGTTTAAATTTTTTATTTGATTGTGCGACCATTGAACTGGCTTATATTTCCAAACCGCTTTTGGCTTTTTCGCGATTCACAGTTATATCACAGGAACGTTAACAGAGAAAGCATTGAAAATCTACTTCATATTCTTTGTTAAGTTGTAAAATACCACAGCTGGAATGAATGTTACCGTTAAATTTTGGGCAGTTTTTTAAAATGCTGATATCTTTTTGACATACGATGCATACTGAACCTTCATTGTCAACTTCTTCACTTCCGGTAGGGGCTTGCATCAATTCTTCATTTGCCATTTTTCCTATATCCTTATTTTCTTTAAGGGCCTGCACTTCACTGTCTGCTATATTTTCCGTGTCTCCCCCATCAACAACAAATACTTGTACTTCTTCAAGGTTTTCAGATTCTTGTAAGAATTTAGTTGAATTATCCTCAACAATTTGTTCAGTAGTCTCATTTAACAACTTTTCGAGGTCATCTTCAGATTTCAATAAATTAATCAGATTTTGAGGTAGGGCACTGTCTCTTAATCCATTTCTCTGGGAGTACCCAAACATAGCCTCATATGGCGATCGCTTAATTGCGCTGCGGAAACTTCTATTTTATTTTTTTTTTTGACTGAACAAAACCCCCCCATTAACCCAGTGTCGGGTATTCTCATCTGACATCCAACATATAAGAACATCTCGTACATCTCGGTTACAACGTTCCACAGAACCTTGACTCTGTGAGTGACGAGGTTTTCCATGTACAATTTTCAAATGGGGCCACTTACAGGCTGTTCTTAATTACCTGGTTAGCAAATTCACGGCCATTATCAGAATGAAGAATGGATGGAGCTCCAAATTAACAAAAAATGTCTATTAAGTTCTTGGCAGTTTCCAATGCAGGCGTAACACTCAAAATTTCGTTAAATGATCTTGGTAATTTGATATAAATTTATAGCCTCCATCGGGTTCCGTTTGCATGTCAATAAGATCTATTTGGCAACGAGAATTCATAAGTTTACTTAAAATTGGTTTAACAACGATGCCCTTCTTATGTGCAGTTTTTTTCAACTGACAGGTTTCACACAATTTTAGGTATACAGGTATGATAATAACTTCTCTAGTAATGTTTGCATATTTTTTTCTCAGCTCTTTTTCCAATCCTAAAGCAAAGTACGTTTTCACGTAATAACAAAAAAAAAAGTTACTATGCTGAACAAACATTTATGGCGTTTATGACCTGTAGCGAGATATGCCTGGTGAATAATCGGAAACAGTTCATCAGTCGAAACAAAATATAGTATCGCATCGCAATCTTGTATTCGTTTTTTAATTAACTTTTCCACACCACCTAGATAGAGGTTCCGACTTAGCTTTCAACATATTTGCTTCCTTAATTTCTTTTAACCCATTTATGCCTAATGTACTATGAATAGTACAGCCTAAACTTGTTTGTTCCTGTAGATATCTGTACGATTTGGTTAAATTGAATAGCTCGCGGCGACAGTTTGCGGGTGGATCTCGTACCGTACGGAGTAATTTTCCGTACTGTGCAATATTTTGTATGTGAAATCAGTTTTTGTATATTGGAAAATAGAAGATGAATGAATATGGCGTGTGCTTTGCAAAGTAAGTAGGTTTTCTATGACATAAAATAAAAAAAAACTAGTTTATTTTTATGAAAATATTATTTCCTTAGTTGCGGCTTCTATATTTTATGATTTTATGATGTGTTTCATTTATGATTTGTTTGTGAGGTTATGATAAAGTTAGGTGTACTATATTTAGTACATCAGGAAAAAAGTGGTCTACGAATATGTTCAAAGTCAAAAATAAAATGGTTTTAGGTAAATTATTTTTGAATAAGTAATTATTTTGAGAAGGCATATTTGTTTCAGGGGTTTTTCTTTGCATGGGGCGCTAGCAATGACAGAAGATGACGACATTGAAGCTGAGTCTATCACTTTGTTACCTCCCACTAATGGATGCAAATGATAAATTTGCTAAACTAAGGCATCTTTTCAATCACCCAAATAAAAATTTTCTGGAATACGCAGTACCAGAAGAACATCATAGTTTTGATAAGGCAATGGACATGGTTGTAAACAGTATATCCACGGGAAACCAATACGTTATGGGTTCAAATTTTGGGTTGGCGCTACTACTCTTGTTTACATCTTATGGTTTGAACCTTATCAGGGTGCTTCGACATATGTGAACGCGGCTTAAAAATCTTTAGGTGTTGGCGCATCAGTTGTATTGAGCTATGCTGTTATTCTAAAAAGCAAATGGGCAAATCTTAGGTTTCATTTTGTATTTGATAATTTTTTTCTTCGCCAGCTTCGTTTGAAAGCTTGTCTGAAAAAGGCATATGTGGTACAGGAACAATTCGTGAAAATCGTATACCCATGTCTTCTTTGAAATAATCAAAATTTATGAAAAAGTAACAACGTGGAGTGTTTGATTATACCAAAGTAAAAGATAAAAACTTAATTTTTGTAAAATGGAATCACAACAATATTGTAACTTTTGGGTCTACAGCGATTGGAATTGATAAAGGAAATTCAGTAAAGCGGTATTCTCAAAAAGAAAAAAGTTTGTGTATGGAGATCAGCCCCAAGTTGTCAAGCTGTATAATAAATGTATGGGCGGGGTGGATAGGTCAGACCAGAATATAGCTCAATACAGACTACAAATCCGAGGCAAAAAATGGTATTTCTCGTTGATCTCTCAATGTGTAGATATGGCTCTGACAAACGCCTGGCATATTTATAAAAAGAGAGGAAATAACGTGGATCAATTACAATTTAGAAGAAGTGTAGCTATAACT